TTTACTGAGATATAAATGAAATAGCTTTGCCAACTATTACATCTTAAAATCAGTCATCTTCAGATATCATTTGGATACCATTAAATAACTCAAGGATCAACACTAAACCAGGCAGCAAGTTCCTAGGTTAGATATTTCGGTTTTTCCACTTTAGGGTAATTCAGATTTGGATTTTATTTTTTCTCCTCTTTTATATTAAATAAAGTTGTAAAATGTATATAGATCTTTAAATTTGTTTTAAAGAGGGGCTGCTTAATGGCTAAGGAAAAAAGCTTTTTTTGGTGACCACATAAAAAGGAGGAGCAAAAGAAAATTGTATACAATGTACGACAAAGGTAGAAATTTCAAACTCCTTTTCCATAGGTACCCTATATAGATACCACAGCAAAACCATTATTAGGAAGCCATGACCCTGACAAGGAGGGTGGTGGATAGTGGTCTTATCCAGTGTGGCAGTAGGACTTGATGCCTGCTGCCAAATTTATCTAGGTACTTGTATCACAAGTGAAGTTGACATTTGTATCGCTTTGTGACATTGTGACCCTTGTATCACAGTGAAGTTAACATTTATATATATCACAAGTACCTAGATAAATTTGAAAGAGACATCTTCTAAGTCAACCTGCTTCTAGATACTCATTAATAAATACATTTTAAGATAATTCCAAGACAGATAAAAATATTGGTAGAAAACTGAAAGAGAAAGAAAGAGATACTCAACAAAGAAGCTATTCCAAAGTTACAACTAAAATTGTTCAATCAGGTCACATAAATTAACTTAGACAATGGCAAGGCTAATTTCTACCATAAATTTCTCTCCTAACTCTTTCTAATCAATATACATTATCTTAAAAATGTTTAAATGGCCTCAGATGTCACTAAAATGAGTTAATGAATGAATGAATTTAACTATAGCCATGGTAATGAGTAATGCAAAGAAAGGAATTACATTGTTAGCATGCTGAATACAAATATTGTCTAAAATAAATTCTATCATATTCCTTTGAAACTTTAGTCCTGCCAGAAACTTTTATGAGGGATCACATAAGATGACACAGTGAAGTTGACATTTCTTGAATTATAAGCCAAAGCAAACGATCAAATTTATAAAAGCAATTATCCTGTATAGTGATATATTTATCACAAGTAAAAGAACGTAGTCACCAGTGTGACTTATATCTTGGAAATGACCTCATTACTCACAGATACGACAAGTATGTGTATATACTAAAATTCTAGGCTAGATGTAATATTTTAAAATCTACATAGAAAAGTGAACTGAAGCATATTGGTTTTGGCATTGAATCCAGTCAAATTCACTCTCCTGCTTCCCATCATTATATTAGCATTACCACTCTCAGGATAGGAAACCCGAGGTATGCCAAGACAGTACAGACTTAGACTAGTCCCAGAACTGATCACCAGGTAAAACACAGGTTATATCGAATGTTTGAGCTTGAATTTCTGGCAAAAAAAGAATTTAAAAAAAAAAAAAAACCTACATTGTTTAGGAAGAAGGTTTCATGATCTAGTTTGAAAAAAACAAGAAAGGAGTTGAAGTAAAATTTAGAAGTGACTGTTTTAAGGAGTCACATTGAATATCTAGATTTAGTAGGTAAAATGTTAAAGAAGAGCTTTTTTAAATGTCTGTACTTTTTACTTTTTACAATCATGAAAGTCATCGATCAGTTATTTTAACATAAAATGTGTTTATTTTTTTAACAAAATAGTTCATTTCGAATGCTGTAGGTGTGTGTTTTTATTATTCTAAAGCATCAAATGACTTATAGACAGTAAAAATGTAATCGATATGAATGTTGGTCAGCAGATGTGAGCACCAACTGGGCTGAAAAGGTGTCTACATTGTAACTGCTCCTTCTAGGTTTAGGTCTGCCATTTGTAACTCTAGTCTTTATAGCATAATAAAATCTAGCTTAGCTCTATTGAACATTTTTTATAATTCCTAATAGACATCACCACTTATTAAGCATTATTTCATCCTCACTTCCACTCTGATACTTCCATAATTCTGGTGGGTATTTAAATTGCTGATATTCAATTAAGTCACCTAAATTCCTTAATACTGCAGAAAACATCTGATGAGTTGTGCTATTGGTGCAAAGCTATGGCATTTTGACTTAGGCATTTTTGTTATTCCAGCACTAGTTAGCAGATTTCAGAAAAAGTAATGCAATCAGAAGTTGCAAATTCATATTAGACGTAAGAGTGATCAGGCTTTAAACTTTGGGTTTGGTTGTGGTAAGAATACAACCAACAGTTCCAATTAAAATTACAGACAAGTCTTGTCTTTGAAAGCACAAAGGTGCTTACCATTTAATCTTGGTGTTTCATATGCTGGCTCTACTGGCACTGCAAACTGTCTTCAAGAGAATAAGGAGCAGATGCCATTTTAAAAAGAAATATTAAGTTACATTTTTGAGAAAGAGAAGGCTTCCCAACACCTTCTAAAAAGGCAGTCTCCTGTTGGCTTCTGAGAATATAAATTTTCCACTTATTAATTTGATGGTTTGTAACTCCAGCTGAAAGTGACAGAGTGTAACGACCTCTCTGTTTTCCACCTGCTGCAAGGTGATGTCTTTGGAACTTGACAGAATTTTGCTATTCTGATAGGCTTTTTATAAATAGAAGTAAGAGTGATTATGTTCCACACTGTTGTCTTAAAAGTGTCCTGAAATGTTTCCTGGGTTATGCATGAGTCAAACCCTCCTTGAAAATGTCTGATAGGAGTCTGCTGGTATAAATTTAGCATCACTTATATAGTTCTAACATTGAAAAAGCAATTAATCAAAAATTTCTTTTTCATTTGATTCAGTACTAGCTGAGTCCAGATTCAATTCATAAATTTCAGGTGGAGGGAGAGAGATGAAGGAAGATCCAGTGAGTTCCATTAATTTGGGAAAAAGAAGTATCTTTTAGTTTCAGCGCACATATAATTAGACAAGAACTGATGTCAGTTTTTCTAATATCCCTTGATAAAATCACATATTAAGAGGATTTGAGAAGGCTTGATTATTTCATGCCACCTTCATTAATATTATCCCTTAGAATTTGTAGTGTTCCCCTCTTTTTACTACCCAAGACAATTGTTCTAACACAGCAGGTGTTCAGTGCATATTTGTTAGAAGGAAGAATTGATAATTAATAAATTTTAAATATAAAGACCAAAGATTTATAAACTTCTGCAACAATATCAAACATTGAAATCAAAGAAACAGTGATTAGCAACTTATAGAAAGTAAAGCATGGCATGTTTTCCTATTTAATGGTAATCATACCAAAATTTTGCCTAGAAGTCATCTATTACATTGTAAAAATTTAAAGAACATAGCCACTTAACATAATCGCTTTGCTTCTTAATTTGTAATTAGTGTTTTTGCAACTCATAGTTTCTTTGTGTGTGGGGGGAGGGACTAAGGGAGTACTGCAGGGCCATATATAATTGTGACGATTTTCATCATTCTAAGAAACATTAGTTTCACATTTTATATATGACTGTCACATTGGGAAAAATGGTTTTATCACAAAGAAATTATGGGCCTTCAAAAAGTAACTATATTATTCAATCAACCAAAAGACATGAGATAAATGAATTTTACCCATGTCTTAATAATTAATGATCAAGAGATAAGGGGGAAAATTTAAGTAAATCTCTTTCATTGACTTCTTTCTCCCAAAGGAAATTGGGAATGACAAAGGAGATGCAAGCTGCTTCAACCACTTGACTTTCAAATCAATCTGGCCAGGATTATAGCTGGGAATTAAGCCCCATTTAAAGGTATAGGACTGGTACTAGAACAGCCAGGACTGGAGCATGAAGCTTTGCAAGTTATAGTGAATGATCAAAAAGTTGTGTGTCCAAAAGACTACAGTTTGGCTAGATATACTATGGGGTCAATACAACAGCTGCAGGTCAGGTTATTGTGTCTTGGCATAAAGATCTTAAGTATTCCAACTGGCTGCATCTAGCTTGATCCCCATTTTTAAATGCTTAGAAGGACTGTAGCACTTTCCTGGCATGTGGGCAGTTCTTTGCTGAATAGAAGGGCTATTAATGGAAAAAAAAAAAAAAAGTCAGATGGAACAGTGTGCCCTCTCAGCTTTTCTGGGAAAGAAACTAATAATGAAATGATTCCATCATTAGTGTGTTTGCAACTTTGACCTGGTATTTTGAAATTATAGCTTTACCAATTATCCTCTTTTCTAAACCACAGTTTTTAGATCATAAAGCCCAACCAGATTCTGAGGTCAGAGAAACTCAATACTTACTACTGGCCATTGCCTGAAATCTGTCATTCTCTAAGCGTGTGATATGAGTGTATTTTATATGTGTATGCCTGTGTATGTGTTAGGTTTATGGGAGAATTTTAGTAGGTATCCCGTGTATGTGATTTGTGGGAGATGTGTACAAGTTAGTCAGGTGTATGAAAAGTTGGAATGGAAGCTGGTCATGATTGGAAGGTTAAGTCTTCTCAGTAGGGCAGTGAATGGATAGGGGGAAAAAAACTGTTTTCTTAAGCATCCTTTTGAAAACAAAGGTAGAAAACAAAGATCTAGCCAAAAATTACAAAAAAAATTAGGCTTTATATCATCTTAGGAAAATAAAGCTGAACTGAAATTAAAATATCTCTCTTTTCAGAAACTGGACTGTCATTCTACCCTTCAGCTTTGCTCAGGCTGGAGCTGGCTCTTCCCCACTCTCCCACACTCTGTGTTCCAAGAATAACCTCAGAGCACTTCACAAGCAGATCCTTCAAGAGCTTGTAATGATCCAGCAAATACAGTACACATGATCCTTTCATGTGCTTGAATGAAGGAACAATAGCCTCTTGTCATTTTCTCTTTGAGCCTGTGCTCTTTAGATTGTATCAGTAGGGGGAAAAATTTGGAGATTAAGCACTAAAAACTGTCACTTTGCAGACAACATGGGAGATATATATATATATATATATATATATATATATATATTTTTTTTTTTTGAGATTTCAACAAATCCCCAATCTGATTAGCTCAAAGGGCCAACCATTCAAAAGGAACAACCCTGACCTCATTACTGCAACCTACATAAAGACAAACCCAAAGCTCTTTTAATGTTAATATTAATGGTTATAAATTTGGCCCAATGGAGGGGAAGAGGAGAGACGGAGCAGAAATCAACTGCACAGTGGAAGAGCTGCCAAGTAAACATTTTTTTCCCCAAAACAAATTTTAGTAGAAACTTTTCCATTGGAGGACTTTCTCTAGATCAAGCATTTTTAAATTCAATTAAATAAAATATTATTTTAAGAAATTGAGATCTACAATATATTTATATCCATAATTCTAAACACCCAAGTCTAAAAGACATAAAAAATAAGTAGCGATGCAGTCACTGAATAGCAAGGCATGTTCCGCATTTCAAATAGTTATAAAACATGTGAAGTGATATAACAATAGAAGGTCAAAAATGTGAAACAGGTTTAGCATAGTCATATTGCATTGGGAAAAAAAAAGGTAGAATACACTATTTAGTTACCTAAATTAATTTACAGGAAAACGGGATCCTAGAAGTCCTCCGACGAACCAAGTGCAGGTTATCTAAAGGTGGGGAGTGCATGTTTTATTTCTATCTGTTCTCTTTAGTAAGAGAATGTGAGGTAATTAGAAAGTATGCAATGAATTCTGGACTGTTCTGCTAGTTGTCCCAGGCAAGACAAATTGAAATGCTTCAGAAAAGAAAGGCCTAGTTGAGTATTTGGGTAGAGGCCCTCCCCTTCAATCAGCTAGTCACTAAGTGGAAATCTCATTATACACTGATTTTGTAGAGATGGATTGACCACGCTGGAGAAAAGGCTGGTTGCTGAGGTCGTGTCTCTTCCATGTTTCCTCAGCCTCCTCTGCATTTACTGAGTTAGGTCCTCAGAGTGGCGAAGGAAAATAGGTCATTTTCCCTTCATAAGTATCATTGGATGATTCCTCTATATTAACTATATGAATCTTATAGTTAAGATCTTTAAAAATTTTTTTTTTAATTTTTTCATCTCAAAAAGTTCTCAGTCCCCACCCCACACGAGGTACCGTGAAGGGGCACTAAAGTGCATTTTGATGCAGGGGGTAGAGCTTAAAGGTGCTGTCCAAGCTAAGAACCAAGATGATGCTGTTTAAAAAAGAAAGGCAATTCCTTCTACCTCCATCTCTGGAGTCAGCTGAGGGAGGGCAGTGAACTAGCCTCTCCCCAGAGGATTGTCCTAACTCTTAACTTTAGAGAAAACTGTGTTAAGGACCTGCACATATAGAATCATTTATTTGCCCAAAATAGCAAAAATAGGCCTATTTCACCCTTCAGAATTTTGCAAATCTGATCAGTGATGATCATAAAAATGTGAATGGGTTCCAGATGCAATCCATGTGGGCATGCTCTGTGGAACGAGCTATGTATCTTCAGTTGGAATGAACATGCGGCTGTTCATTTTCATCAAAACGTGACTTCTAAACTACCATAAATAAAATACACATTGAACAATTATATCTTTTTCTTACAATAATTACTTTTACAATAAAAAGTCACCATTATCTTCAGATATATCGAAAATTAGGACTCTAAATCTTATTATTTCCCAGCCTTAGTTAACAAACTTGCACAGGCCCGATAATCCAAAATTTGGAGCTCTGATCTACACAGCTTGGCAGGTTTCACACAGTTTGACAGGTAGGCAACTGTGAGATATGCATTTTTAAAATTTAGCATTTTCTATCAAAACAGTCTGAAATCTTTTAAAATCCCTACAGAGACTGTATTTGTGCAATGCCACAGTCACGTGGCTAGAAAGTAAAAAACAAAATACAGTCTGGAAGATTAAACACCGTCCAAGTTTTCTTGGTCTTCAGTTTAAACAATGATGAGCCCAGGAAATCCAATTAAATACAGTGCCTTAAATAGGAGAAGAGTTGGTCCTAGAATAATTTAAGCTACTAAACAGGGACTGTCTCAACCACGGGTGACTTGATGCACTCTTCGTGCAATATGCTCTTTTCTGCAAGGCTCAAAGAAGTTTCAGCAGGATGCTCTGAAATGTGACTGTCACCATTCAATGTAGAGACAAACCCTTCCTGGGAGGGGCCTTTCAAGTATGAGTGAAATTCCACTTGAGGGTGACTGGACCTGTGTTCAGGATATAAGCTATTGCAGGGCACACTGTTATCATTTTCGGAAGAGGAGCAGCAAACGATTACAGAGGGGTTGGCAGCTGGGTAGTGGGAGGCACCATAGGCCTCTTCTGCTTGTCGGGCGTAGTCCACAAATTGCTCCGGGGTCATGGTGTAAGGCACCAGCGAAAGGGTACCGTTTTTGACAGTGTCTCTTTCAGAATAGTTCTCAGAGATCTGATTTGGAGTTCCTGGAATGTGGCTATCTATTTGGTAATACAGAGTTGAAGAGTTGGCATAAAAAGAAGCATTCTTTGCATGGCTTTCGTGAACGGCGGTGCCATCAGAATAACAAAGAACTGAAGGAAGAGGAACAACTTCCGCATGGGTGCCCAAACCTTCCACAAAGCTGTCTCCTTTGTCATCATCGTCATCCTCCTCCTCCTCTTCCTCTTCTTCTTCCTCCTCCTCCTCATCTGACTCACTAGGTGCCAAGCTTTGTGTGCTAGAATCTGTGACTCCGCTGCAAAAGCTGCTCCCATCCTCCTCTTCTTCCTCCTCCTCTCCTTGGCAATCTAATTCTTCAGCCGACTGCAGGTGCAGCACTGCAGCCTGGGGTTCAGTTTCAATCTCAAAACTGTCTGCAATCGAATATTCTACGGAGTGAGCGACAGGGCCCATGGAACTACTATGAGCACTTATCTCACTGTGGCAGCCATTCAGTGTGGGGATTTGCTGCTCTCGGTTTTTTTCCAGTTCAAGTTTCATTATTGTGTGCAAAAAGTGAGTCCGAACACGGATAGGATTAAATTCAATTCTACCTGCTGTGTTACTACATCCTTCTTTAGTGCAGCCACATGGGAAAGACATACGATCCACCTTGGAAGGAAGAACACAGATTAGCGCCGTGGAACTATTACAAACCAAATAAAAACCGAGAACCTTTTAGTAACTTCTTTGAATTAAGTAATCCACTTAATGCCATGTATGCCAGAGCAAATGACAACCAAACTTCAAATAGGAATGAAAAGGGGAAAGTGAGGGCTTAAAACATAAGCGTTAACTGCTTTTTATACCTATATTAAAATAAAAATGGGTTATGGTTATAAGTATGTATTTTCAGTTCACTGAACCACTCCATGGCTCTCTTTCCTTTTTTCTCTATTTTCCACTTTCCCATCCCTCCACTTCTTTAATTTTGCTCCCATTTTTCCAGTGCTTTTGTCTTTTCCCCAAGTTCCCTTTCTTCTGCCGCATCCCAGTTCATGTGCCTGATTTTAAACAAACACACTTACTGCACTCCTCTCCACATGCCATTAATCTAACTTATATCATATGCCCCATGTTAACTTTTCCTTTTGCTTATTATAAAGTTGCTTTCTCTTTGCTTGTTATAAAATAGACTTACACCATTTAGCATCACACACCCTCACAATTTGCTCTCATTTGCTTACCTCCTCATTGTTTGGGGTGCTTGGTACCTGAGTACATGTGTGATTGGACCTGTGTTCAGAACATAAACTATTGCAGGGCACACTGCTATCAGTGCTATTTTCAGAAGAGGAGAAGCAAACAATTACAGAGGGGTTGGCAGCTGGATAGTGGGAGGCACCATAGGCCTCTTCTGCTTGTCAGGCATAGTCAATGAGTTGCTCTGGGGTCATGGCATAAGGCACCAGAGAAAGGGTATAATTTTTGACAGTGTCTCTTTCAGAATAGTTCTCAGAGATCTGATTTGGAGTGTACTGAACTGCAGGGCTCCAGTGTATATGCACATTCATGACTATGACTGGTGGACTCATGTGTTTAGGTCCTGAATCCCCCCTTTTCTCCCCATTCCATTAGATACAATTTTCTTGAAGGAAGGGCATGTACTTTTCATCAATATCTCAAAACTATTCTAGTGATTGGACACTGTCTAGAGTGCTTAGGTTCAACAAGTGTTGGACTGTCCTCTTCACTCAGGTGAGAGGTGGAGTTTTGGATAATCCAAGGGCATTCATGAGAGATTTGTCAGTTGTCTCAGACTCCACAGATCAATCTGTATGCAGACCAGAGTGCAGGCAAGAGAAAAAAACTTGCTCTGCTTGTCACCTTATCCGGCACAGGGAATTTCCTATGCTATAGTAGAGAAGGCAGACTATCCTAATACAATCATCTTGGCCCCAGTAAAAAGTACAGTAGATATTAGAGCCAGAATATGTATCTGTATTTTTTTTATTCATGATTCCCTTTTCTGTGAATCCATCTTAAGCAACTGTTCAGCAGATAGGCACTGCCCTCTTCTTTTGCCTACCTGAGTTTCTCTCCTTATGCAGAAAGCCAAGTTTCTGCATAAAATAGTGACACTAATTATAGGGCGCCAATGAGATTATAAATGAATGGGGACCAGATAATTATCTAATTGCCAATCATCAAGGGTTGGTCAACTTTTTATTTACAGAGGTCAAAGGAGTAAATATTTTAGACTTTGTGGACCATATAATATGGGCTCTGAGGCAACCACAATACTCAACTCTGCTGTAGGAGCAAGAAAGCAGTCATAGGCAATATGTAAAGAAAAAAATGTGGCTGTGTTCCAATAAAACGTTATTTACAAAGTAATGTGGCAAGGCCAGATTTGGCCTGTGAACTTACAGTGCGCCAACCCCTGACCTAGTTCAGCTCCTTCATTTTAAAGATAAAGGAAGTAACCCCAGAGGGTTTACCTGACTTGCCAATTTCATATAGTTGGCAAATAGCAAAGACGGGAGTACAATTTAGTTTTCTGAGGTCCCAATCTAGTAACTTTTCCACTAATCCAACAACCTCTAATCAATCATTGTACTATATTCCATGGGTGGATCAGAAAATACACACTCCAGCATTAGGGATGTCATGATCTCTTTGAATACTGATAAAAAGATGAAATAAGCAGATATAATACAAGAATCAAGATAAAATAATTTTAATTAACTCAGCTGATGCTTGGGTTGCCTTTCAAATTATATATTATATGTATAAGCATTTTATGTATTCCCATGATTGTCCTTAAATTAGTCTTTCTTCCTGAATTGTGTCTTGCCTTGCCACAAAATTTTCTTTTACATGGGGGAAGCTTCATTATAAGTACCATGACTGCCTCCTTAGGGGGCGGTGGATAACGTCTGGTCTTTGGATGCCCTTTAATCCAAACTCTTACCTGGCACTTAATGCCAGCCAGGCTGCAGGTGCACGTGTCTGGATCACAGAACACTCGGCAGTCACAGCCACAGTCCTCTCGTGAGAGGCGGATGGCTCGCAGCTCATGCTTTTCTTCCACGTCGATCTTTTTCACTCCAGAGGCACGCAGCAGAGCTCTTCGTTTTTTTGTTGGCAAAGGTTGTAGGAAGAAGTACTCATCTACCTCTGTGTTGTCTAGGTCAATGTCATCATCAGAAATATCATCCAGTGTAAGAGTGCTGGCTTCTTCTGATTCCACTGTGCCATTCTTAGTCATCTACAAACACAAAGCAGCAAATAAGAGACTCATAAAGGGCAGGGTACAAAATCTCTCTGTCTGTACTTGGTGAGAATAAACTTACACATGATCATGTCCCCTGTAATCAACAAGTGTTTGGAAGATCATTTCTTTTAATCTTTAGGAGAAATCTCAGAAAGGAAAACAAGGGCATCAAAATGTTAGGTTTTTAAATGTACTAGTAACAGAAGACTGTTAATTGGAACTCATAACCTCCTAATGTTAGGAGCTACGGTTGTTAGAGCTTTTAGAGAGTACCATGTGAAAAGACCAAAGGTTACAAATGCTCATCAGTGAAAGTTATCTTTAGACTCAGTTCATGATAGGTAGCTCCAATGTTGGAATAACGTGTCCTTGTTCAGAGGTAATAGCATCCTTGTGGAAGCCATCACCACCTAACTCAGCGAATATGTTGTCCTTGAAATAACAACTCTGTCTTTTGAGCTCCAGCAAAGCCATGCACCAGGAAATAAAGGTGTGCTGCACTGTGCTATTGGGATTACAAATACAATTATCCTACAGAACATTCCAAGAATGAGGGCTTGATATGAAGTAATCAGCCAGGTCAGCATGCTCTGAGTAAGACAAAGAACAGAGGGCTGGGCCCACAAACTCTCAGCAACCAACAACTGAAACAATAAACTCTGCCCTTAGAGGAGTTTACACAAACCCTCACCCAAAACGGTACCTTCTGCATAATAGCTCATGTAGAAACTCTCTCACATACCCATGACTAGTCTGCCTCTATTTATATTTCTTCTCTAAATTAATCTCATCCATTGGTAAACCCTGAATCAGTATTTCATTTTTTTACTGTCATATCACATTATGTTTCCTTCATAAAAAAGCATTGAGAAAAAGAAGTTTTCCCTGAATATGAGTAAGGTATCTATCCTGAGGAGCTACATAGAGTTAATGCAGAAATTTCATGAGAAAAATCATGGAAGTTCTAAATACAGAAGGGATTTTCATCCTTTCATATTTAAACTTGTTACTTCCTAAAATTCATTAATTATAATTATTACTATGCTTGGTAAGCTTAACAACAGTTCATCCATCACACAGTTAAAATACTTGCAACATCAGACATCATTGTCTTATCTTTACAGAAAAACATCCAACATTTAGATAAGAATACTTATTGGAAAAAAATCTTCAACCTGGACAACTCTGAATGTATTAAAAAACAAATAGAAGTTTGGACTTTGCCCTCAAGCAGAGAAACTTTCATAGAGGAAATAACACAGTAGCAAGTGTATATTAAACATATCACAAAGGCCAGGTGTGGTGGCTCAAGCCTGTAATCCCAGCATTTTAGGAGTCCCAGGTGGGCAGATAACTTGAGGCCAAGAGTTCAAGACCTGCCTAGGTAACATGATGAAACCCCATTTCTAAAAAAACAAAACAAACCACATACAAATTAATTGGGCATGGTGGTGGGCACATGTAGTCCTAGCTGCTTGGGAGGCTGAGCAGTAAAAACATCTCCAAGACCAGTGATACTCAGCCTCCTTCGTACCACCAAGGAGGCCAGGAATGAGGGATATGGCATCTCTATAAACTATCAGTGGCCCACCCTGGCAATGTTTCTCCATGGAGGTCATGGTGGGGTACTTCTCCTTTTACTCTTGGGGATCACTACCTTAAGAGGGTATCCTAAACTTGGCACTGTTTTGTTAAATGCAGTTTTAAGTTAATAACTTGGATGAAGACCTAAAAGGCAGGCTTATCCCATCTGGAGATGACAAGACCAAGTTTATTGAAATTAAATGTAACATAACTTCACTGATCATTGTCTGCAGGCCATGTCTAGCACTAAAGAGGGTTTTTGCCATGGAGATGTTACAAAATTTTGATTTATATCATAAGGCAGACTCAGCTTAAAAGACCTGAGTTTAGTTTGCTTGTTTTTTGTTTTGTTTTGTTTGTTTTTTGCTTACCACCAGCTTAATATGAAGAAAAAAATTAATCAGTTTAAAAAGCCACTGTATCTTTAATGTATTCCATGGAAAGAACATCTACAACTTGGGAGAGGATAATGTAACACATTCCTGGAGCACCATGTCCAGATCAAGTACCATATTATGAGGGAGACATAAATAGCACTGTATCCAGAGGAGGGAAACCAGGGCAACAAAGATCCTAAAAGCCATACCCCAGGAGGATCAATAGAAAGAACCAAGGACATTTAATCCTACAGAACAGAAACACATAGAGCCCATACACTATCTTCAAGTATGTGCATGTCCATCACCATTGTTTTCAAACATCCGGAATTCAGAAAATAGGGAAGATTTACTCTGTGTACCTATGGGGCAGAATTGAGGTCAAAAGTTTGCAGTCACGTGGCAGCACATTGCTCAATGTAAGGAAGAGCTTTCTAACAATTAAAGCTGCAAAATGAAATGAACCACTTCTAAAAGCTGTGTGCTCTGGATCATCAGAGTTGTTCAATAAGAGGCTGGAACTGGATAGATGACCCAGTCCATGGGGTCTCAGAAAAACTAAAGGAAAATATGTATATCGTTTGGATATTCAGTCAAATCTTATAGTTCTTTAGCTCATTAGCTGTTAATTGTAGGTGGCAAACTGGAATCAATTTAATTATGCCCTCGAAGAACCAGGAATATTTGGTTGTTTTGTTAGCTTATGAGAATTTCAACAACCTGAAGTCACAATAGGGCCTTGAAATACACATTACCACACAGTCACTAAGAGGGAAGATGATAATGTCAACATATAAGACATATAAATATTTCCTCTCAAATTCTTTTCTTCTCCCCTCTGATTTAGACCAACATTGCCTCTTTCAGTGGTAGCTAATAAGCCAGGCAGATTCAGTAGCATGCTAGTAAATATTTAACAACTGACACTCTGAAAAAAAATTCTAATTTGTCATGTTTGCCAAATTCCATGGTTTAAATACTTCCATCATAGCTGATTTCAAGCTACCGTTGGGAAGAGATGTACACAATCCACTTGAGTGAGCAACTTCAGCAAGCTGGCTCCATCACACCACTGAATGTACCCCACATTTTAATCAGGAGAATCAGTGCAATTGACTTCCCTAAATTAACAGTCCAATGTTTGTTGCAGAGAAAGAAAGTGAAGATTTGATTACATATGCTTAGTTGTTCCATTTAAACTAAAATACCAACAATATTTTGTAAGAACATATTCTTAAATATACTGCATTTGCCCAGGGCTGCAGCCCACCTTTTCAATCTCCATCACTTTGTTTAGGCTTATTTTCTCTGTACAGGACTTGTCAATACAATGTTAAAGTGGGCCTCCATTTGGAGATACATTCCAGAAGCTCCGACACTAAGTATGCTGTGGTGTAATCTCTACAGTCTAACAGAAATTCTGCAGGGATGAGTGGAGTTCAAACATATCATGACCAGCAGGTTCTGACACATCTAATAAGGAAACAGAGTATGGGGAGATAGTTAAAAACATCCAAAAATGTTGATGATTGATATAGCTCAACTGTCTCTCAAAAACCTCTAAACCCTTATAGCTCTCAGGGCATTTAAGGCCCTTATCTGGAGGATAAATTACAAGATTTTTGAGGAGATACAAAGGGAAGGGCTGGAGGTGAAGTGGAGAATTATAATATTGCATGGGTAAGTCACTAAATGGGTAAAGCAAAGTCATAAATCTGAGATGTGGGATGAAAAAATTTTACGTAGCATTTTTTTAAAGGTTAAAAATCATTACCATTTGGCAACTGCTTTTTTTTTTTTTTTAAATGAGGAAAGGAGAGCAAGTAATAACCAAGAATTACTCAAGAAACATATGACTGAAAATTTGAGAAAAGCACATATTTCTGAAAAGCAATAAGAAATGGCAGCAAGAATGAAGATAGATCCTTGAATCTCAGAAATAAGAGGAACAACTTAGGCTGAAAAAATATTAAGGAAGAGGAAAGCCAAAGCTGTGAAAGCTAAATTAAATTTCTTAGAACAAGGTAGTAAAATTCAGTATGATAGAACCCAGAGGCAATTGGAACACCAATGCTCTTTAAAACATACAAATGCCTGCCTAATGCATTTTACAGATACATGTGAATTGGGAATAAAGGCTAATGTAATTGTTCAACAATGTGGTGCAGATGATGAAATCTAAGCACTTAATTTGGAAAGTGTATAGTATTAAGATGACTGCATTGATTACTGTGAAGAGTATGACATGTTTGAATGGGCTTGATAGAGAAGAAGAACTGTGCTCTGTAATTTAGAAATCTAAACCTACTTATTTCTTCCAGAGCATACATTTTATTCAATCAGCTTTTTCTATTAGTTGTTTATAAACATTTGAAACACCAACACCACCAACAACAAAAAAAGACACACTTGAACTTCCCCAAATAGAATTGGATTTGTTCTACTGAAGTAATACTTATATATTATTTTTTGATATAGATAACTCATAACTTGATTGGAAGATGAATTACTAAATTAGGAGCAATTTTATAATCAAAACATACATTTCTACTTCTATTTTGTTTTCCAAATGTGTCTTATAACATCTAGGAGTGTATGTGTGTGTTTCTTTTTCTCATATTTCTCTATTAAAGCCCCATTGACAGAGGTACCATTATATAAATGGGTTCTCTATTTGGAACTCAGCAGAGACACTCTGGAAAGATACTGAGGCACAATGGAAAGAGAAGCTGCTTCTTCCTGTTTTGGGGCTGTGGGTTCTCAAATAAGTAGAAGGGAAACTATTTAGTTCTGAGTTCAATGAGTTTCTCATGGTATATTACGTGTTTCCATAATGATGGCTTTGGAAAACGTCTGTCGTGTCAGATGCTGCCTTTCCTCACTCCTTACTCAGCAGGTAGTTCACTGCCATTCACAAAGGACAAACTCAGGCCAACTCACAGTGGGCAAAGTTTGTTTTTAACAGTCCTTACTTTTCTTTCTGGAGTCCTCTTCTGTACTAATGACCCTTCTGCTGCCCCAGTCAAAATAATGAAATCAGTTTAGCCATATTTACAAATGGTCCCTGGTTTATGATGGTTTTTTCTTTTTATGATTTTATGATGGTGCAAAAGCTATATACATCCAGTAGAAACTAGGCTTTGAGTTTTGAATTTTGATCTTTTCTTAGGCTAGCAATACCCTCACACGATACAGGGTATTGCTACTGTCAGCTCTGCCAGCCATGCAATCATGATGATGAACAACTGCTACCTATGGTGCACTGTGTAGCCAGATGATCTTCCTCCCGGGTAGGCCAGTGTAAGTGTTCTGAGCATGCTTAAGGCGGGCTAGGCTAAGCCATGATGTTCAGTAGGTTAGGTGTATTAAATGCATTTTCAACTTAGTCATATTTTAAATTTATGATGGGCTTATTAGGAGATAATTGCATGACATATTGAGGAACATCTATATCTTGTTACTTACACCAGAGGTATTTATATTTCAAACAAATATCACATTAACAGTGAAATTTCAATTATCAGAGTGAAATTTTTGAATAGCTGTGTTTTGGGGTAGCTGATTTTGGATAGCTAAATCGTGGTAAATGATATTTTTTAAATCATAAAAGTGAATATGCTAGAGGAGTTACAATTAAAATATACACAAGTTTTTCTCCGTTAATTCTCCTCAGAGTTTTAAGAAAGCTGATTCACATTGCTGCAATCTTTCAGCTTTGTGTGACATGTATTTCTGAATACTTTAAGTACAGCGAGGTTGAGATTGAATCACCTCAAAAATCTCATTATCTTTTAAGTTGACATTTATTTGTAAATACTGATGATAACCAAATGCCTTTTGTGGACATCTCACCAAGGGGGAAAACTGTGTTTTCACTTACCAATAACAAACTGAGACCTGACACTCGCTCGGATGATTGCCTCTCCAACATCCCACACTAAGCAGAATTTTAAAAAACAAATCAGTAGTAGAGTGGTCTTTAATTTTTTCCTTCTTTTCTCATTCAGCTTGTTTAAAAAAATGTATGGAAGTAGTTGGATACAAATTATAGTACATAGCACATGGGGGAAGGTTGCTGCAGGTTTGTGGCTTCCCCTAACATTCATCACATGTACTATGTGCCTCAAAGTTCACCACAATAAATCTTTTGGTTCTCAGATAGCATGTCAGTCCTCCAACTATTAAAAACCACTGCACACAGTACCAAACCCCAGACAGGATGACTCCCCGTAGGTACAAAGATTGTATTTCTCAATGCCTATAAGGGCTAATCAATTCATTCAAGAACAGGAAGTAGTAAGATAATATAATCCATTTTCTATTTGAATGAGCCAGTTATTTAACATCTTTGTGCTTCTTTTTTTTTTTTTCTCAGTTGTAAACATGTTCTAATAATTTTCCTATTCCTTTGGGTCTTCCTGAGGATGACATTAAATCATGTTCATAAAGTACCTGGCAAATAAAAAGTACTTAATAATTGGCAGCCATTACTATTGTGCTAACAAGATTTGAATTGGAAAAATGACTTCTCTCTTTGGGTAGGGGGTAGAGTTGTTTGCTGTGGGTGACAAAGGCAGAGGGTGGATTTCAGAAGCTAATCTGAGAATGTTTACTAAATTAAGTTACACGCAGAGCAAGCATAAAAAACAACAATAATAGTGGAATGCAACTGACAGAACTTTTAATGACACCCGAGACTTTCAATGAAACCTGCCAAAAATACTGCCAAAGGAAATATGAGACGTGCTCTAAGTTAGCTTGTATCCCGCTTAATTTAAATGACTGCTTTGTCATCCAGTTGGGAACATGGTACATACATACATTGCAACATACATAAAAACAAGGTGTTTTGAAATACACATCACATCCCTGCTGACTGACTTTATTCTGAAAACTAAAACTAAGGCTAACCCAGCTGTGTTTACGGTGCTTCAGATATTCAACAAATGACCATTTATGTTAAGTACCCTGGATTACCTAAGAAATATTTTCATTGTCCTTAGATAATAATGGGAAAGTATTTCCTATGAATTGATAAGGTGATAATCCAATGGAAGAGTGTCTTTAGTTGACAAAAGATGTTTCCAGTGTCGTATTACTCTCCATTTAATCTCTAAAGTGGCACAAAATTAAGTTTCTCCACTTGGATACTTTCCCGACATCTCTTGATAACACAAAAGCCTCTCACACTCAGTATGTCCAAAAATGATCTCACTATGAACATCCCACCCCCAACCTGTCCCCTTCCTGTGTTTCTTGTCAAAGCAAAACACTACTGTCACCTACAACCCATTCAGCTTTTCAAGCCAGAAATTTAGAGGTTATTCCTCACAACTCCCTTCTCTTCCTCCTAAATCCAATCTATCATCAAACACTGTTAATTTGGCTTGGTAAATTTCTCCCTCTATTCATCTCTCCTTGACTCTGCTACCATCATCAGTCTAATATAACCTACTGTCACCTCTCTCCCAGACTGTGGCAATAGCCTCCTAACTGGCCTGACTTCATCTATCCCATCCCCTCTCAACACCCTTACCCCACCCACAACTTTTTCTTCCACCATTGCATGAGCTGGATCAGATCCTGCCACTCCAACTCAGCTTAAAACTCTTGATAACTTTTGATGGCCTTAGGAAGAAGAGGAAAAAATACCTTACTGTGGTTTACAAAGCCTCGCTTTTGCTTCCTTTGTGTTACTGTACCTTTCTTGCCTCTGCTCTAGCCACACATGCTGTTGTGGGCTCACTGTGCTCCCTCCTGGCACAAGGTAGCTGACATTGCTTGGCTGTGTCTTCACCAAATCTCATCTTGAATTGTAACTCCCATAATTCCCACATGATGTGGGAGGGACCCCGTGGGAGATAGTTGAATCATGGGGGTGGTTCCCCCATAGTGTTCTCATGGTAGTGGTAAGTCTCATGAGATCTGATGGTTTTATAAGGAGTTTCCTTTTTCACTTGTCTCTCACTTTCTCTCTTGCTGTCACCATTAAGAAGTGCCTTTTGCCATGATTGTGAGGCCTCCCAGCCACGTGGACCTGTGAGTTCATTAAATATCTTTTTCTTTATAAATTACCTAGTCTTGGGTGTGTCTTTATCAGCAGTGTGAAAACAGGCTAATACAGTAGCTCTGGGTTTCCCTGATGCCTGAAATGCTCTTGCCAATCCTCTTAGCCTAGTCACCTCTGCAGATTTTGATTTCACTTCCTTGAGGAATCTTTCCTTGACCTCTTTGACCACATCAATTCCCTGTTATAAACTTTCACAATACCATGCAACTCTTCTTCACTGCACTCAATAAAGTTGTGCTTTTATTTCGTTTAACACTTTAATATTTTTTGTTTCTATTATTGTATAATTTCCTGTAGAGAGAGACTACATCTATTTTTGGTCACCTGCTAGCCCTAGCCTAAGCACAGTGTATATGATCTAACAATGTTCAGTAGTAAATACTGGTGGAATGAATGAATAAATGATGTCAGGTAAGTTTCCTACATTGCTTTCAGTAAAGAGACTATATTGTTTTGCTTTTAAAAAAAAGTGTCAGCAAGCAGTCTGTTTTGTAAAATGCCCAGTTTGGTTCGTACTTATAAATATGAAAATGGTTAACTTAATCAAATTGCTGTAAAGATATGAGATTTTGCAGAAAATGAGTTTATTACCTTTAGTTTTAAGGAGTTCAGCTTTTCCTCCCTGAGGTGTTCTCTCAACATCTCCCGGTGGAGCCTTTCCTGCTCCCTTGCAAACTCGCCAAGGGTGTACTGGCGCACGCTGTTATGGCGGCTGGACATCCCCAGGGTGCTGCCCCCTTGACTGGGCACACTTGTGAAGCCTTGCCTCCTGGTGAAGTAGTACACGGTGACACAACTAAAATGTACATTCTTTGTCCTCAGCCGCTTCTCTCTTTTGAGAATAGAGGAAGCTGAAAGAGAAAGAAATAATTCTGTGAACACTTAGGGCAGCAATTTTCAGAAAAGGCCATGAAAATGCCATTTGGTGATCTTGAATCTATCCATGGTCAACCCTTGTTGGCTAGGGCACTCTAAAACTGTTACATCCCAGAGTTGGCATTGAGTTCTTATTTTCTTTCTTACATTTTCTTCTAGCTGTGGCAGAGTAGACTTTTAAGTATAATGGTAGTCTGTACTTTTAAGTATAATGATAATCTAAGCAAACTTTCAGGAAAGTTGTCAATAGTCTGTGAATTTGTCAGACCACTTATAGTAGTCTCCCCTTATCCTTAGAGGATATGTTCTCAGATCTCCTGTAGATGCCTGAAATCACTGATAATATTGAGCCCTATATATACTATGTTTTTTCCTATACATATACACATACCCAAGATAATACACAGTAAGAAATTAATTACAACAGCTAATAGTAAAATGAAGCAATTATAATAACATGCAAACATCACCACTTTTGTGCTTTGAGGCTGTTGTTAGGTAAAATAAGGGTTCCTTGAACATAAGCACTAGGATACCCATGACAGTTGATCTGATAACTGAAGACGGCTACTATGTACCTAATGGGCCAGTAGCATAGACAGCACTGATGTGTTGACAAAGAGAAGGTTCAAATCCTTGGGGAATGGGAATGAGACAGTGTGAGATTTCATCACATTACTCCCAACAGCCTGCAGTTTAAAACTTAAAAATGGTTTATTTCAGGAAATTTTCATTTAATATTTTTAGATTATGATTGACCACAGATAATTGAAATAAATCAATTTCAATTGGGAAATAAAAACTGCAGATAATGGTAAATTCTCATTTCCTCTAATCCTTTGAATTTTGGTTTTATGACTTTTACAGGAGTTGTACTTTACTATAATCAAAACAGACACATAGTACAAACCCTCCCTCATACCTCAGATCTTATTTCTATGTGGAGGGTCTTTGACACTAAAACAAATGTCTACAAATTTTAGAAAATTTCAAAAAGCAATAAAAACACACATAAAAAGTCTCATTGGCACTATTTAGATTTTTATCAATCTAAATCGAATAAAACTTTCATTTGAAAAAAACAAGCTTTCTCATTAAATAGCATTATGAACAATGGCATTCTAATCCCATTGTATCCCAAGTATATATTGGGACATTGAAAATGCCCGAGATATATCAGAACCATTTTCTTCTTCTTCTTTATTTTTTAACTGATAAATAAAATTATATATATTTATGAAGCCCAGGGTGATGCTTCGATATATGTATGTATTGTGAGACTGCTCAATCAGACTAATTAACATATCAATTATCTTACATGCTGATTTTTTGTGGTAATGGGGGGAGCCTTTATTATTAGCTACAGGAACATCAAGATGCACAGAGAATTCAGGAGAGGTAGACCCTGGCTGTAGTTGAGAAAAAGAAGGCCTCACTTCATAAACATGACCTTTTGAAATTCGAAGACATGGTAGAATCACCTGGCCCAGCCCTTTCATTTTATAGTGAAGTAACCAAAGTCTGTAGAATTTGAGTGACTTTTTTTGATGTAGACTGTTAGTGAGGCACGTAGCGTAAACCTAAAAGCTCCTAGTTTGCTGTCAAATTATATGATCCATCCCACTGGGGAAGAAAAAGACACACATAGTTGAGAAGAAAGAATCATGCTATTGTTTTGCTAGCTGAGGATTTGTTCTCAGTTCATCGTTTTTTCCTGTCTGCTGTTCTATTATGGGTTGAATTTTGTCCCTGTCCACCAAATACACTAAAGTCCTCATCCCAAGTACCCAGAATGTAATCTCTCTTGGAAACAGGGACTCTACAGAAGTAAACAAATTAAAATGAGGTCATTAGGGCAGGCCCTAATCCAAGATGACTGGTGTCTTTATAAAAGTTAAAATTTGGACACAGACACGCGTAGAGGGAACATGATGTGAAGAGTCACAGGAAGAGCACCATGCGAAGACTGACACGGAGATGGGGACTCTGCCACCACAAGCCAAGAATGTCGGGGGCTACCAAAAAACTGGAATATGCAAGGAAAAATCCTTTCCCACAGGTTTCAGAGGGAAAGGTTTGCCAGTCCCTGCCAACACCTTGGTCATCTAGCCTCCAGAACTGTGAGCAATTTCTGCTGTTGTAAGCCACCCTGTTTGTGGTCATGTTTATGGCAGACCGAGAAAACTGATACAAGTGCTCAAGCAGGAAAAGGAACAGAAGAAAATGAACTGAGAAGAAATCCTCAGATGGTAAAATACCATAACTTAACATTTATGGAGTGCTTCCCCTGTGCTGTGCTGTGCTTTGCAGAGAACTTTACATGAATTATCTCATTTTATCCTTAGAGCTCCCTGGTTGATATTACCCAAGTCCCCATTGTTACGAAAGCAAATTATCAAAGGTTAAATAACATGGCCAAGCTCTTATATCTAATGATAAAACTGGAATCTGTTATTCAGAGCCCAGTCTTTTCACTACCATATTTCAGCACAGAGCTGAGGCCACACTAAGGGAGGTGAACAAGGCTGAGATCTGGCATCATTCTACCTCTGGAAAATGTCAACTGCTGCTGGCTTCAAGATGATTTTGATTTGGAAGGCTGTGTAAGCAATGAAAAAAAATTGACTCTAATTCAAGTTGGATTTATATAAGAATGTTTTTCCAAGGAGATTCAAACTCCTTTGTCTCATTTTTCCCCCATGAAACATTCAAGCCAAATATAGAGAGGCTGCCATGATTATTTTCATTTCATGGATTTGTTTAATCAATAAGTATAAATTGAGAGCCTACTCTGTGCCAGGCACTTTCTAGATGATTAGGATACATCAGTTAAAAATACAGATGTGGCCCACACCTGTAATCCCAGCACTTTGGGAGACTGAGTTGGGAGGATCACCTGAGGTCAGGAGTTCAAGACCATCCTTGCCAACATGGTGAAATTTTGTCTTTAATAAAAATACAAAAATTAACCAGGTGTGGTGTCACATGCCTATAATCCCAGCTACTTGGGAGGCAGAGGCAGGAGAATTTCTGACACCTGGGAGGTAGAGGTTGCAGTCAGCCGAAATCATACCACTGCACTCCAGCCTGGGCAACAGAGTGAGACTCCATCTTAAAGAATAAAAATAATAAACAAATGAACAAATAAATAAATAAAAACACAGATGATGATCCCTGCCTGTGTGGAGCTTCCATTTCAGTGGTGAGAAACTCAGGCACAATGAAGAGACTCAGAAGATTAGACAGTAAGAGAATTATAACCTTAGAACAGAAATTCAGCTTTCCCAACTTTCCTCTTCTCTGCTGTTTCACTTCTCCAGAAGATACTGCCAGAAAGTGAATGCTTTCCAACATGTGCATAATTTTTCTATTTATTTATGTATATATTCACTGTGACACACCTGTAGTCCAGGCAGTAAAGACAACTTTCAACTTTGATTTAAAAGTTATGAGCTGCTTCATAACTACATGTTTAAATCATCTCAAAACAAGGAAGAATTTGTCAAAATGTAAAAGATCACCATAGAAGACAAATTTAACAATCTGCCCAGTAATCTGCTATCAAATCTGACAACCTCATCTGTCACACCTTATAGCAGGCTAGAGCCTCTGGTTTTGTGATAATAACTTTCTATCTTTTTTGCGCTTGATAATATAAAAATGATGCCCTAAAGACATGATTGTTCAAGGCCATAAATTTATAGATAAAGAAAAAGGTTTTAATGTACTCATTTAAAACAATTATTATACACATCTCTGGTAATTTTTTTTTTTTTCTTGAGATGGAACTTTGTTCTTGTTGCCCAGACTGGAGTGCAAAGGCACAATCTTGGCTCATCGCAACCTCTGCCTCCTGGGTTCAAATGATTCTCCTTCCTCAGCCTCCTGAGTAGCTGGGATTTCAGGCGTCCACCACCACACCCAGCTAATTTTGGTATTTTCAGTGTTTCACCATGTTGGCCAGGCTGTTCTCAAACTCATGATCTCAGTGATCCACCTGCCTTGGCTTCCTGAAGTGCTGGGATTATAGATGTGAGACATCGCACCTGGCCACTTCTGGTAATTTTATTACTTAATTTTTGGACAATTAGTGATACTCAAGAAATTTCCTTTCCAAATGTATTTATATCTCCACCTGCAGTTTTAGATTATAAGAATTTTTTACCCTTCTAGATGAATCTATTGTACCATGCTTTCCCAGAAAAGACAAATTACCTTTTCCCCAAAAGCCAGAGTCTGGAGGTGATTTTCTAAGGCCTTGAAGATGACAATAGTCTTCAACATTATTGGGATTACAGGCGTGAGCCGTACCCAGCATCATCTGTGTTTTTAAGAAGGACTTCAGCTGGGCCCCTGGCAGTGCTGACACTGTCAAAAGGAATTAGAAACACTGCTTCCTCCTATCTATTAGTATTTATAATTCTAACATATGCTTATGTTTATTTTAACAGTTTGCATATTATACATAACATTGTGAGAACAATGATTCAAAAGCCCATGGAATCTATTTAAAAGGAAGTCTTGGCAATACTGAAAGATCAGCCTTATAGGGGATATTGTAAGTGTGGCTTTCCTGAAGTTAAGAGCCACCCAAGTCTCTCTTCTGATGATTGAATCAGAGGACTAGCATCAGCCTTTATGAGCTATTTTCTGCCTCCAGGCCTCAATTTGACTAACATCACAAAATGAAGTCATAAAAAAGAGTCTTTGCCCTTTGAGCCTGAAAGAAGCAGACTAAATTCACTCAGCACACCTGCCGTAGGGAATCTGAAACCTCCCTGATATACCCTACCTTGTAATTTGTGCCCTTTCCAAGATGACTAAGCTCTGCTTTGTGTCTCTGCAGAGTTCAATATTGGCTTTACTGCTGCAAGGTCAAGAGCAAGCGCAGGAGGGAGAAGAATGGGGCTTTCATGAGAGATTTGAAAATTAATTAGTCTGTTTTTGGCCAATGTGGTGGCTCATGCCAGTAATC